ACCAGTCCATGGCCCAGGGATTGGGGACCTCTGGTCTAAGGAACAGCAAGCTTCTTGTTAGCAAGTACAGTCACCAGACTGCAGTGGCAGAATATCTTAAGAGTGCTGAGAACAAATCCCTGTCAGTCTCTAATTTTCTAATTCTTTTTTTCAAAATATGACATCACAGACCCTCACAAACCTACAATATTATGTGCTTCAGCAAGAAGAAAAGTGAAGCCAAAAGAATGTAAGAAGCAAAGATAATCAAAGAAATGGATGAAACTTTGGCAAATTTAACTACTGACTTTAAAAACAAGTTCATTTGCACTTCAAAAAGTGGTGACCACTAGGTACACGTAATAGGTAAGCAGCAGTGATAGGGGTTTATGAAAAGAACAAAGTCTAAAAATAGTTCCAACTAAGTATGTGCACCCCCAACCCCCTGAAGTCATAAACCAAAACAAAACTTACACATTAAGCCAGAAAATTATCTGACAGCAATCTGAAATTAGAATTTGCTCTAATTGACACCCACAGACATAATATGATATTCTTTAAATTTTTTTTTTTTTTTTTTTTGAGTTGGAGTCTCACTCCGGAGCCCAGACTGGAGTGCAGTGGCACGCTCCCGGCCACCACAGTCTCGACCCACTAGGCTCCAGCGATCCTTCCACCTCAGCCTTCCAAGTAGCCAGAATTGCAGGCATGCACTCCCACGCCCGGCTAATTTTCGATTTAATGTAGAGATGAGGTCTCTCAAGTTGCCTGGGTGGATCTCAAACCCACGGGCTCAGGCAATCCACTTACCTTGGCCTCCTAAAGCACTGGGATTACAGGCTAAGACACCAAGCCCGGCGATATTCTTAATAATAGTGTTTTCCCTTTATTTAGGATTAAAATAATCTGCAGAAGTGGAAATCTGAAACATGGAATTTTCTCCTCCAGAATGAATTTAGATTATCATCTTCTTTTGGGGAGAAGTTATAATAAAAGACTTTCCTCCCTTGTGGGCTCTTGGAGGTTCCCTTACCATGTGCTAAATCCAGTGGGGCAGACACACAAGTAGATGTCCCCAACACCTGTTTTCCTTTAGCAGTAGACGCTGTGTCTAATGGGCACATTGCTCCCCCACCCCCACCAAGACTGTTTCCCAGCTTCTCTTGCAGCTAAACACAGCTAGGTGTTAAGTTCTGGCCAATGTGATGCCAATGAAAGTGTGAAAAGCTATCCTCAGGCAGGGTCCTTAAATGAGGAGCTGCCAATTTTGACTCTTTTTTTTAAAGACAGGATCTCATTATGCTGCTCAGACTGAACTCAAACTTCTGGGCTCAAGCAATCCTATCACCTGAGTCATCTGAGGAGCTAGGAATACAGGTGCCCACCACTGCACTGAGCAATCCTTTTATTCTTCTTGCTGGATGAAATCAGACCCAATGGCTGGAGCTTGAGTGACCATCCTAAGCCAGATGACCAAAGCAGATAGGAGCACCAGTCCTGAATGACATGTCAAAACCACTACCAGCCTTGCATCATTTACCCTTGAACTCTTCTCATGAAAATGGAAAAGTCACTCAAGCCAATTTTTTTCTTGTAGCATACAGCCAAACCCAATCCTGATACATATAGCATGCCAGAATAGATTTAGGAGAGTGAAAACAGACATATGGCAGCATCCCACTGAGATTTTTGGCCTGATATTTGACTGTGAGTTGGAATGACAGGTGGTCCAGAGATACAAGGGTGAATTTTCACTCTTTAAAATAAAGCATGTAGGCTAGGCACAGTGGCTCATGCCTATAATCCCAGCACTTTGAGAGGCCAAAGAGTGAGGATTGCCTGAGCTTAGGAGCTTGAAATTAGCCTGGGCAACATGGCAAGATCTCATTTCTACAATTTAACAAGAAAAAAGAAAAAAGAAAGCAAGGTGTGGTGGCTCATGCCTTAATCCCAGCACTTTGGGAGGCTGAGGCGGGAGGATTGCCTGAGCCCAGGGGTTCAAGACCAGCCTGGACAACATGGCGAGACCTCATCTCTACAATATATATATTAAAAAATTAGCCAGGTGTGGTGGCACATGCCTATAGTTCCAACTACTTGAAAGGCTGAGGTGGAAGAATGCAGGTTGAGGCTGTGGTAGCCATGGTCGTGCCACTGCACTCCAGCCTGGGAGACAGAGTGAGACTCCAACTCAGAAAATACATACACACATAAAAATAAATAAATAAATAATAAGGCACAGAACAAGGTATAAAGAGGAACGTACACAAGTGGTATGTGTTTGTGCTTACCCTAAAACTTTTCTTCCAATGTTTTGGTATTGCTGAGAATATCTCTCAAACATGGGAGTGCCCCCTCCACAGACCAGTCAACATTCCTTGTAGAACAGTAGTAGTTCTTAGCTGGGCATGGGAGCACATGTCTGTAATCCCAGCTACTTGGGAGTCTGAGGCTTAAATCCAGAAGTTCAAGGTTGAGGCCAGCCTGAGCAATACAGCAAGACCCTATCTCCTTTAAAAAAGGGTAAGGTAGGATAGGGTAGATAGAATAATTCCTGACAATGAATGGGTTGCAAAACAGATGATTTTTATAAAACCACAAGTTTCTGAGCTTCTATCTGCTCCCACTGAGATTTTGATTTATTTAAGTGGGGCACAGGTTCTTAGCCAGTTAAGAAATAGAGCAGCTGTTGTTAGTCTTGATGCCATCTTGGGAGTCATCTGAGGGGCTTTAGAAAATGATACCTGTGCCTCACCCCTCTGTCTGGGTATTCTGCTTCATGTTGTCCGGGATATTTCTAATGGAACTATGGGAAAAACATATTTCCCCCTCAAGGCAGGGAGTAATTAATGCCTACGTTACGAATCATCAATTAATGATTGTAAAATAAGAAATTAAACATGGTAATATATAATCTAGGCAAATATATTATTTGGGTAAATGATTTAGGGTAATATCCTGAAATCACCTAATTCAGGGATTCCATTATACCACTCCCTAGAGTCCTGACACGATACATACATCTGCCCTAAACTCCACCCTATGGCAAACATAAAGAAGCTAGTGGACACATTCAAAGTCAAGTTCATATACATACTCTCAAATTCTTATTTTGGGATCACTTCCCCCCAGTCCCCGCTATTGACCTGTAAAAGCTGGAAATGTTTGACGTGAATGTCTCTAGAGACATTCATCTTACTGAGTTTTTTCATTGTACAGGTAAGGAAAACCCAGAGCCGAGAGAAGTCTGACCTTCTGTGACACAAAGTCAAGGCACAGCTGGGGTCTACCTGGGCTCTGACCCCAGGGTTCATTCCACCAGTGCCCTCGAGCGTCAAGGTACAAACACATCAGACCCTTCACATGGCACGCAATGAATCAACTCATACTTCAGACGTGTCATTTGGTTCCCAGGCCCAAAATATGAGAATTGGCAGGTGACTGCAGGGAAGGATGTGGATGTCACCAACAGAAAAGGCAGAAAGGCAAACACTCAGAACACCCAACAGTCTAGTGGGCTCAAGGATGGGGCAAGGAAATTCTCACTTTTAAACGGATACAAGATGGACAGTCTCAGTAATCTGTGTTCTCGGTAGAATTTCCATGTCATTTTATGCCACATATTTATTCTAGCTAGTGATATGATGGAATGCCCCACCCATTTCACTTGGTCATTTTCCTAAATCAGCAAAGGAGATACCACTCAAAAGAGGAAATAAGAAAGTCACATGAGAAGAGAGATATGGAAGAACAAATGCATGAAGGAAGTTCTTAGAATGGTAATTTTATTTCACATGCGTATCTACCACTAATTATTGATAATGCAACTGAATTATGAACTACTTGCAAAATAAAACTGATTACATCAGGTATCTGCTGCATTACAATTATTCTACCACTAGGTTTCATGCCATTACTTCAGGGAAACACTATTCTTAAAAAGCAAAGCAAGAATAATATGAGTCATTTCTTGCATAATATACCTCTTTACAAAATAAACAAAAGCTGATAAATGTCTGCATATGCGCACGCGCACGCACACACCCCAGAATTGAGCAAAACTATCTTATCTCATTGGTTTAAAAAGTACAAACATTCAAAATGGAAAACATGTAGTCTTCCCCCCAGTCTTTCAAAGCCATTAACTTCCAGGTGACAAAGATAAAAAATCCTTTCCATCAATATTTTTAAATAATGGCAGCCAAAAAAGGAATGAAATCATGTCCTCTGCAGCAACATGGATGGAGCCAGAGATCATCATACAAATGAACCAACTCAGAAACAGAAACCCAAACACTGCATGTTCTCTCGCACACATGGGATTGAAATAGTCACAAAGATGGAAATTAAATAGACCCTGAGGACACCAATAAGGGAGGAGGGGAGAGGGGGATAAGGGTTCAGAAACTACCTACAGGGTACAATGTTCACTATCTGGAAAATGGGTCACCTGAGACCCAATCCCCACCACTACACAATATGTCCAAAACAAATATGCATGTGTACCTCTTGAATCTAAAAAAAAGTAAAAGTTTTAAAAAATAAAAATAATGAACTTCTTTTGCCCTCCTCCAAAGTCCCAAACTAGTTTTTTGAATTTTTTTCAGCTTTATTAAGGTATGATTAGCAAATAAAAATTACATACATTCACAATGTATAATACAATGTTTTGATATACATATGAATTATGAAATGATCAAATCAAGCTCATTATCACATCCATCACCTCATATACTTAACTTTTTTTTTTTCATGGTAAGATGAACTTTTCTTTTGATATTTAAAAACATATGATGCCAACTCTACCATCCCCAAACTTCAAAGTAATCATGCCTATTCTATCAGGGGGCAAATAAAAAGGTTCTACTGCTAAGAACTGGAAAGCACACGGTGGCTCTGAACTGATGACTGGTCACCTGGGGACCAGGATTTACATCAAGGTCTTCCTCAGTCAGCACTGACACTATGACTGTGCTCACATCCCTCTCAACCTTAAAGCAAGCCAAGGCCAGTTATCTTACCTCAAACTGTGGGTAGGGAGGAGTCACAGCAGATGGGGGCCCTGAGGTGGGCGGTGGCATCCCTGAAGTGGGTGGGAACAGACCCAAGGCATTCAGATTCAATCCAGGAATTAAATGTGCTTGAAGCTGCAACGATAAAAAGGGCCCTTAATTTGACAATTAAAAGAATCAAGAGAAAGTGAACATTTTAAAGTGACAACATTCAGAGTGTGACCACTTATCTCATAAAAACAATGGGGGGGGCACATAACAACACAAAGGGTACTGGGTCTTAAACCAGGGGAAGTGAGGACCAGTTGGAAGCCCAGACTTCACAATTGCATGTAGATTACTTATATATCTAATCCTGACTTGTACTCTACATTTCTAAAAAAAAACTCTAAAAAAAAACAACAATCGTCTTGTGACTCAAAGCAGATGTTCTCTGTAACTATATTTGAGTATTTGTTTACACTTCTTGGTATTTTAAAGTGTGTGTGTTTGCTGCTCTGCCGCCTCCTTGGTCCACAGCCACATGAAGGTATCTCAAGGGCATCCTTCCTTTCCCTGACAATCAGCTCACAGGGCTTGACAGAAAATGTACTCATATAACGTGTACACACTGTACATACAGACTGAAAAATCTTGTACTGGCCAGGCGTGGTAGGCTCATGTCTATAATCCCAGCACTGAAGCAAGAGGATTGCCTGAGCCCAGGGGTCTGAGACCAGACTGGGCAACTTGGAGGGACACTGTCTCTACAATAAATAAAAAAATCAGCCAGGCGTGGTGGTACGTGACTGTAGTTCCAGTTACTTGGAAGGCAGAGGTGGAAGACTGCCTGAGCCCAGCAGGTGCCACTGCCACTGTACTCCAGCCTGGGCAACAGAGTGAGACTGACTGAAAAAACAAACAAAAATACCCCACTCTTTCGGTAGAATTTGGCATTCATGGGTACAGTGGCCTAAACAAAGTCAAGACCTTTGGAAGTCAGGTCCATGCGACTACTGCAACTGAATATGCCTTTGAAATGGACATAGGAGCCAGAAAGGGGATTTTTATTTTACAGGGGTTGAGGAAGTAAAGCAGAGAGGACTGAGATTTGAGTATACTTAAGATTCTTTTTAAAAGGCCTATTGGGGTTGGATTTAATCCCAACTGCTTCCAAGACATTTGAACAAACAGTAATAACACAAAGGTAGGCAGGCAGTCACGTGGGGTGAAATGATCAGCATTCTAAGGCTCTTCTGACAAAGGTGGCACCCTTGCATTTTCATCCTCTCAAGCTCAGTGTTTCAGATGACTGGTCCAAGTAAAGAATTTTATAAAATCATTTACTTCAAAATTTAAGACGGCCTTTTGAATACTCCATTTTCATACCATTCTGTCAGCAATTTGCTTTAATAGCCTTAAATACAGTACACATATTGTTTTGTCATTTGAAATTCTTCTACCTCCAAGGTATATATGAGTAACCAAGTTGTAAACCTGTAATCTTAACACTTTAACTTGTATATGCATTATAGCTGTTGTAATCCTAGGAAGCAGGTAAAGCAGGCAGCAACCCCATTTTACAGATGAGGAACTGAGGCTCTGAGAGCCCAAGTAAACTAAGAGAATATAGCTGTAGCTCATAAATGGTTGAGTTGAGAGTCAAACCCAGGTCACATGGCTCTCTGCAGCCCCTATTTCTTCCAGATGAACATCCCTCAATTTGCACCATAAGGTAGGTACTACACTGACCTTCTGTTGGTAGATATTAGCCTTACCTCAGAGAGAAGGAAGCTAAGGCTCAAAGACAAAATACTTTGCTAAAATCACAGAGACAGCCAAGTCTCATGTTATAACCAGCACCCTCACTACTATCCCGGTGTACTTGCTATGGTGCTAAAAATCAACAAAACTACTTTAAATGATGCCACCACTAGGGGAGTCAGTATTAATGCAACTAAAAACAGCGTTTATTCATCAAAATAAAGACATGTCCTTTAAATTGTAACTAACATTCATATGACAGAGGAAGTCGTTCTGTTCAAAAAAATGAAACGGAAAAAAGAAACTAACATTCATAGAAGCAATATCATTTTCATAAGACTCCCTGATCTTCTTCATGATCTCCTCCTCGGCTTTGGCACAGGTTTCCACACTGCCTTTCACTGTGATGGTGCGTTCTGGATTATACAGTGTCAGTTCCTGCAATCTACAGAATGAAAAAGAGGGGAAAGAAAAAAGAACGAAAATTCTAAGGGGGAGGCAGACATAACAACTCAGCTGCAGATGAGAATTAAAACAAACCATGAAGGCTGGCAACATGCACAAGTAGGTCGTCAAAGAGTAAGCCCCAGGCAGGTGCAATGGCTCAAGTCTGTAATCCCGGCACTTTGGGAGGCCAAGGCGAGAGGACTGCCTGAGCTCAGAGGTTCGAGACCAGACTGGGTAACTTGGTGAGACCTCGTCTCTACAATAAATCAAAAACTTAGTCGGGTGTGGTGCCACATACCTGTAGTTCCAGCCACTTGGCAGGCTGAGGCGGAAGGATCGCCTGAGCCCAGCAGGTGGAGGCTACGGTGGCCATGAGCGTGCCACTGCACTCCAGCCTGGGTGAGATGCCAACTCAAAAAATAAATTTTTAAAAATGAAAATGAAGAGTAAGCCCCAAGAGACCCAAATCCAGAAATTGTACAGCTGCAGGAAGAAAAACAATGTTCCCCTTCTTGCTTCTCCATAAAAATGATGGGGGCATAGATTTCAACTGCATCCATGTTTTAAGCACAGCTTACTTCTTGACCACTTAAAGTTGGACTGTATTCACAATTTAACAGCAAACTGAAAATAAATAACTGAAAAGATGTATAGCGTAGGGGACACCATAAACCAGAAGTACCTAACCTTCAGGAAGCGTGATCCTGGTCTGTGCTGACCAAGGCTAGGCATAATTGGCATTCTCGTGCAATTGCATTTTCTGGGTCACTACACAAGGAAGAAGCATGGAAATATTCCCAAAACACAAGCCAGAATTCCTGGAATGCACGTGTCTAAACTTAGTTTTGGCTAGCATGCTTAGAACTTAGAACAAGGGAGGCTGGAGAAAATAACAGAAATCAATTCACCTTAACTAATTTTATTTTTTATTTTTATCTTTTTTTTAGTTGGAGTCTCGCTTTGTTACCCAGGCTGGAGTGCAGGGGCCCGCTCACAGCCACTGCAGCCTCGATCTGCTGGGTTCAGGTGATCCTTCTGTCTCAGCCTTCCAAGTAGCTGGAACCTCAGGCAAGTGCCACCACACCCGGCTAATTTGTTGATTTATTGTAGAGATGAGGTCTCACCAAGTTGGCCAGGCTAGTCTCAAATCCATGGGCGCAGGCAATCTTCTCACCTCGGTCTCTCAAAATGCTGGGATTATAAGCATGAGCCACCACGCCCAGCAACTAATTTTAAAACATGGTCCATTGATGTCCACTTATGCAACAAAACAGTCAGATAGCAGCAGCAATATTCAGAAACTACCTGTGAGACCCAAGTCCTGCTGAAGCTTCGAAACCCAATAAAAATTCTATCTGAGAACACCTAAGCCTAAAATGGGCAAACAGACTTAGAAAAAGCAAAGGGAGAAATTTACTATGGAAAACAGGCCTAACTACATAAATTCCGAGTATATGGAATATTGGTACAGCTCTCCTTCATACTGCTGGAGTTAAATTCCCATTTTCAATACTAGTAAAATGTCATATACTAACCTTGAGCCAGATTCCTTAATGTTTTCCTCAAACTTGCTAAAAATGTAAACATTTATGTAACACTATTTGTCTTAGATCACTCAAAGAAGTATATGATTCTACTCCAGTTTCAACCCAGCCCTGCCAAGCATTTTTGTATTATAATTTGTAGAACAGCTGCTTCTAGAATAGCATTTTAGATTTTATCATTTGGCTGGGCACGGTGGCTCAAGCCTGTAATTCCGCACTTTGGGAGGCCAAGGCAAGAGGACTGCCTGAGCTCAGGGGCTCAGGACCAGCCTGGGCAACTTGGCGAGACCTCATCTCTACAATAAGTCAAAAAATTAGCCAGGCATGATGCCACAGGCCTGTAGTTCCACCTACTTAAGGCTGAGACAGAAGGATCGCCTAAACCCAGCAGGTCAAGGATGCAGTGGCCGTGAGCATGCCACTGCACTCCAGCTAGTCTGGGCGACAGAGACTCCAACTCCAAAAAAAAAGGAAAGAAAAAAAAAGATTTTCTCTCTTAAAATTCTCCATACGAGAGAGAGCCAATCAGAAGCCCAAACCTCACCTACATGCAACCTACTTTTGTAATAAATCCTCACTAGTGCCTTATAACTCTAAAATTTAAGAAAATTAAAATTTAAAAATTTTGCATCTATTCTAAAATTATAATACAAAAATGCTTGGCAGAGCTGGGTTGAGACTAGAGTAGAATTATATACTTCTTCTTTGAGTGATCTAAGACAAATTGTGTTATATAAATGTTTACATTTTTAGCAAGTTTGAGGAAACAGGCTCATGGTTAGCATACAACATTTTACTAGTAGTGAAAATGGGAATTTAACTCCAGCAATATGAAGGAGAGCTGTAAATAACTCCCTGGCCGGGTATGATGCGCTAAAGCCTCTAATCCCAACGCTTTGGGAGGCAGAGGTGGGAGGATCACTTGAGGCTAAGAATTCAAGACCAGTCTGGACAATATAGCAAGACCTCACTTCTACAAAAAAAAAAAAACAACAGAAAAAAACAAACAAAAATTAATTGGCTGGGCTTGGTGGCACATGCCTGTAGTTCCAGTTACTTGGGAGGCTGAGGTGGGAGGATCACTGGAACCCAGGAGTTCAAAGTTGCAGTGAGCCATGATCATGCCACTGGGTGACGGAGCAAGGTCTCATCTCATATTGAAAAAACAAAACCAAAAAACTAAACCTCTCCCCTTTCAAGTGTAAAATTCAAGACAAGGTAGTATCACTTATTATATTTACCACATTGTGAGTTTTCTTTTTCTTTTCTTTACAACCAAAAGGAATTTCCTACTCCCTTACTACTTTCTTTAAAACTCCCTGCTACATAAACACTTTGCCTCGATCTTCCCTACTATTCTTCCTTAGTTCATCAATTTCTTCCCATCGGTTTTGAGTACTCGAACAGAAACTTAGTCACTCCGAGAAACAAAATAACCATTTATATAATTTCAGAGAATCCACGAACTCTTTTTTGAGGCAGCTTCCTCCAAGATGGCACCTCTTGGCACCTGCCCATCCCGGCTATCTGTACTTCCCCGCTACATACACACTGACTAGGGCTGACTTGTGTAAACAATATCAGAAAGCATGGTAGAGTGCAACTTCAGAGGCTATGTCTTCAAGGACATTACAGCATACATCTTGCTGTTTCTTGGCTCATTCACTCTGGGAGAAGACAGCGCCATGTCTAGGGGACACTTAAGCAGCTCTGTGGAGAGGCCCACATGGTAGGGACTGAGGCCTCCTGCCAACAGCCAGTATCAACTGGTCAGCAGCATGATAAGACTCCAAGCCAGAACCATGGAAACTAGCTGGGCAATAAATGTTCTCTGTTGACTTAACGCTGTCAAGAGTTGAGATAATCTGTTACACAGCAGTGGGTAATAACAAGATTAAAACATAGTTGCTAGGTGCAGTGGCTCACACCTGTAATTCCAGCACTTTGGGAGGTGGAGGTGAGAGGACTGCCTGAGTCCAGGGGTTCGAGACCAGCCTAGGCAACTTGGTGAGACCTCATCTCTACAATAAATAAAAAAACTGGCTAGGCATAGTGGCGCATGTCTGTGGTTCTAGCTACTTGGAAGGCTGAGGCAGAAGGATCACCTGAACCTAAAAGGTTGAGGCTTCAGTGGCCGTTGAGTGTGCCACTGTACTCCAGCCTAGGCAATAAAGTGAGACTCCTACTCAAAAAGAAATAAAACATGGTCAAGACTTCAAGCATAAGCCGGGCTCGGTGGCTCAGCCTGTAATCCCGCGCCTTTGGGAGGCTGAGGTCAGTGGGTGCCTGAGCCCGCGGGTTTGAGACCCGCCCGGGCAACTTGGCGAGACCTCATCTCTACAATAAATCAAAAAATCAGCCGGGCGTGGTAGCGCGCGCCTGTAGGTCCAGCTACTTGCAAGGCTGAGGCAGAAGGATTGCCGGAGCCCAGCAGGTCGAGGCTGTAGTGGCCAGGAGCGGCCACTGCACTCCAGTCTGGGTGACAGAGTGAGACTCCAACTCAAAAAAAAAAACCAAAAAAAAACGAGCATAAAGCGTTTAGTTCTGCCTGCCTCTTAAGTGAGAGCAGATCATGCTTCCAACACTGGCAGGCAACAGAATGCAGGCAGCAGGAGAGTGTGAGAAACACTGTGACTGTAGGGCCATAGGCTGGCTGGAGCAGCTGTGAAGTGGGAGAATCAAAGCTTAAAATAACACATACAGCTTCCAAAGTGTTTGAAAACTGCCTGGATCAAAAGCAGAGGCAGCACTTACGGAGATATCGTGATTTTAGTGTCTGTGTCTTGCTCAATTTTTTTAAGGTTTCTTCCTTCTTTACCGATAAGGCGGCCTACAAAGTTATTATGGGCTAAAATCTTCAAGGGGATCTCTTCTGTGCTGTAAATAAGAAAAAATGTCTTAAAATTAGGGTGCGTAAACCTATTCTTGGGTAAAAAGACAATATTTCATTCATTAAACATTTACTTCCTACCTGCCATCTGGGAAGCATTATGTTAGGCACAACTTAAAACTTGCTGACCATTGGCCAACATTCTAGCAATGCATGAATTAGAAGGGATAAAAAAAAAATTAGCAAGTATTTGGATAGCAGTTAATTTTTGAAATAACTATTTCCTGAAGTGAGTAAAACTATCTACAGTGATGAACTCTCAAAGCCATACTCCTGGATCCTGATACCAGAAAACAATGTACAAATGCCAGAAAGTACAATCCTAGAATAAATTTTAAAATACATACCTGGAGATGCATGCATAATTTACAGAAGGAAACAGAGAAGCTCAACAGCAGTTACACTTTGGGGGAAGGGCACAGAAAGACAAAGGGGAGCTGTCCCTTACTCACCTTTCTGAATTTTCAAGTCACAAGCATATCTATGTTTTAAAACATCACTGGGGTTATTGGATGGTGGGCTATGTTTTTGCTATACTAAAAATAATCACATTCTAAGAATGCAGCACCTACATATGACACCTTACTACTAAAACTTGTTTAAAGTTCCCTCCAAATTAAGTCCTGGTGATGAGGTCCCCAGGCTAACTCCAGCACCTTACACTGGAGCCTACTTTGCATGTAGTGTTGGTTCTATAGGAACAGAACCTAACCTTTCCTCAGAGTTCTCATGGAAGATATTTAGAGTTCCAGCCTGCAGCACCCAAATAAATCTCCTGTTTACTTTAGCACAGAATTGGGAACTCCCCCATCTCCACACTCCCCGCAGCTCCAAAGCGGGGCTGGGCAGAGGATGCGAGCGTAGATCCAGTGAACTCTGAGCGGAGGGCGACTGAGACCCGAGGCCCATCCTGGGTTCATCCCAGGATACTTCTTGGTCCTGAGTGGGGTCCTGGGTCCCCCAATGGCCTCCACTGCCTACAGCTAGACTTCTCTTCCCGGTTGTCACAACTTGCCCTATGCCCAAACATGAGTGAAGATTAAATATTCAAAGAGACTTACGCTTCACAACCAAATCAAGAGTGTCAACCACCACAGGTCACCAGGATGGCATTTCCCTTCATGTGCTGGCAATTCCCAAGAATGGCGTCATAGAAATCCAAAATAAAACTGCACACATATCAACCTCTTTCACAGGATAAACCCCTTTACTCACAATTTTATATCTTGAGCCTCCTTATGCATAATCTCCAGAATAGACTTACAAGCCGCAGAGGTGCCTTCAGGGGTAGAGAGGATAGTAATGGACTTCTCAGCAGCCCCTGCATTCTCTTTACGATGGACGTCGATTCTAAGAGTGGGCAGAAGCAGACAGAACATGAGCTGTAAGTACGTACTCACAGCAACCTGCAACAACCAAGGACAAAGTCACATGACTTCTGGGCAAAGGTGGTGACTTACTTCCCTCAAAAGCATCAACTCTTGACAAGCTAGCAACACGGATGCCTTAGAGACCAATTTTAATTCCAAGAAAGCTCCACTTTCTCCTTCCTCAATGCAGCCAAGCAGGGACATCTTCTCGTTCTACCCCAGCTGTTTGTGCTTACAGCTTCCTTTTAAATGTCACAGGACTAGCACCTCATGACAAACAGCCTGGATTCTGACAAAAGGCTATCTTCTGCTTGAAAACAAATAGGGACTGGAGTGCATGCCAAGAGCACAGGAGCTGGAATCCCACAGGCCAGGCCGAATTCCATATTCTGCATGGTATATGCACTAGGCGTTCACTGCATGAGGAGATTTCACTCATTGGCTTTCCTTTGCAAGCCTCCTCCCGCATTTTGCCTCCTTGATAATGAAAAGTCTGCAGCAAATAGTGATAGGAATGGAAGCCAGAGAAATGGCAATTTCATGTCGAAGAAACACAAATGGCCAATAAACTCAAAATGACTAATCTCACTAGTGATTGTATACCTGCCAGTTAAAACAAGATGCTATTTTCTTCCAGCCTACAAATATTCTTTTTTTTTTTAATTTGGAGTCTACTCTGTCACCCTGGCTGGAGTGCAGTGGCATGCTCACAGCCACTACAGCCTCGGCCCACTGGGCTCGGGTGATCCTTCTGCCTCAGCCTTCCAAGTAGCTGGAATTATAGGCATGCACCACCACGCCCAGCTCATTTTTTTATTTATTGTAGAGACGAGGTCTCGCCATGTTGCCCAGGCTGGTCTTAAACCTGTGGGCTCAGGCAATCCTCTCAACTCTGTCTCCCAAAGTAATGGGATTACAGCATGAGTCACCATGCCTGGCCAGACCTGCAGATATTTTGAGAGACATCAAATTAAGTCCTGGCAAGATGATAGGTAACGGGGCACACCCACACTTTTGGTGACAGTAGAAAGCAACCTGGCAGGACCTATCAAAGACAAGATGCTTATCGCTCTTTGACCCAAGAATCTGACTTCTTGTAACATCGACAGGTAGAGTTTTCTATGTGGGCCGAGAGTGGTGTTTATCACCCTTGGCATGATTGACATTTGGGGCTAAATTCATTCTTGAATCCTAGTCATCCTGTACATTGTAGGATGTTTAGCAACATTCCTGGCCTCTACCCACTTCTAGCCCAGTTGTAACAGCCAAAATGTCTCTAGACATTGCCAAAAGTCCATGGCGGGGGAAGAAGGGCAGGATTGCTCCTGGTTGAGAACCATTGGTGTAGGAATGCTCATGGTAGCACTGTTTGTAATAGATAAAACATTAGAACTATCTTGAAAATGTCCATCAGGAAGAAATGGTTAAATAACTGTGTGTAGCCGGGCTCGGTGGCTCAGCCTGTAATCCCGCGCCTTTGGGAGGCTGAGGTGAGTGGATTGCCTGAGCCCGCGGGTTCGAGACCCACCTGGGCAGCGAGACCTCATCTCTACAATAAATTAAAAAATCAGCCGGGCATGGTATCGCATGCCTGTACTTCCGGCTACTTGGAAGGCTGAGGTGGAAGGATCGCCGGAGCACAGCAGGTCAAGGCTGCGGTGGCCGAGAGCAGCCACTGCACTCCAGTCTGGGCGACAGAGTGAGACTCCAACTCAAAAAAAAAACTGTGTGTGCATGTATGTGTGTGTGTGTGTGTATACACTCATAATGCTGTTTTTAAAAATATTAAATTATAAGTACCAACATAGTAAGAAGTTATATTTAAAAATATATAATGCATACACCATACAACTTCTTTTCAAAGTTACACATAGAACAAGTCCTGTGGAGACTCACCCCCAACTGACCAACGGCTACCTCGTAAGGCGAGATGAACTTTTTAGCTTTTAATTTGCATATTTGTATATTTCTAAGTAAATACAAAATAAATCTGCTGCTCAGATAATACAAGAAAGAAAATCAACTACCCCAAAATGTGTGTTTTTGGTAAAATTAATTTAAGTACTCATTGGGTCCTTTTGGTCACTCCAACCACTTAAAGAGCTACATAACTCATAGCCATGGGAACAACCACTTCCGTCATGCCAAAATAAATGAAGGCTTAGTTTTTATTTTCCTAAATAGTTGCTTGAAAATCTCAAGCTTTACCTCAGAAGGAAAACCTGTAAGAAAAAATGAGGGCATTGTAGAAATGAAACTATAAGGACTAACCTAGAAATAACTTATTTAAAAAGTGTCCTGGGTAACAATCCCAATCTGAGGAACCATGGTCCCAGTCACTAATCAAATTCCCTGCTGCTGTCACTGATGACTGTCTTCCGGTGACATGTTCACATCTCTCCTTTCCCATTTATTTCCACTCTTTCCCTGTGTTAAGAACTATGAAACTCTGATCCCCTGAGAGAAGGGAATGTGGCTTTGGAGATTCAGGCAGTCCCCCTGAGACCATTCCAGAAACAGGAGTTCTAATAATGACTAATTTCAATGGCAAGAGTTAATTAATTAAATCCACTGGTAGAGCTCTGCAAATGAATCATCGGATAGAACCAAAATCACTTCCCTTCTTCTCCATCCCCCATCTTCCTGCCTGAAGTAAAACAAACAGTTCAATTTAAGTCATGACTCCTTCATCCGGCAAAGACCTAAGTAGCTCGAAAAGGAACAACTCTCATCTGCCACACAGCAAGGAACAGAAACCATGTGACGAGTTTCTGCAAGTAACGTGGGTCAAGGGAAGCAAGGAAGCCCTTACAATTTAAGGCTAAAGTTAGGCAAGTTGACCGGGTTACAGTTCGGTTATCTTCCCTACTCCTATATGAGGAGGTCAGGGTTCTTAATTCTGCACACAGGTAAACTAGCATCCAATGTCTCATGCTTTGAAGTAGAGGAAGGCAGAATTAGACACCACTGGGAAAGGGGCAATTCCTTTTGGTTATGCCTGAGAAATCAGTCAGTCAGTTCAATGCAGGCTTGGTGTCTATGATGAATCTGGGTGACCACTTAGGCCTACAGGAACAAATACATAAGCCTATATACAGCACCACAGACCAAACTTTCAGAGAAACTGTGCTTAATTCCTCAGATCACATAAGATGAAACCATTCTCTTTTTAAAATTTATTTATTTGAGCCAGAATCTGTGTCACCCAGGCTGGAGTGCAGTGGCACACTTACAGCCACCACAGTCTTGACCTGCTGGGCTCAGGCAATCTTTCCACCTTAGCCTTCCAAGTAACTGAAACCACAGGCATGCGCTAATTTTCTGATTCACTGTAGAGATGATGTCTCACCAAGTTGCCCGGGCTGGTCTTGAACCCCTGGGCTCAGGTAATCCTAATCGCTTCCGTCTCCCAAACTGCTGGGATTACAGGCGTGAGCCACCACATCCAGTTCCTTTCCGAATTTAAAAGGCAAAGCAAGCCAGTCATTTCTGTGTCTGGCACAAGGCTTGAGGAATGACACTGCTTATACACAACCGTCCTCCTCAGTACACTCACAGGTATGGCAGAACAGGCTCAGAAATGCACCTCTGTGCACTTTACAGAGCTAGGGATGAGGAGCGAGTTTGTCAGCAAGTTTCTTTCTGTCAAAATACCCACATACTGCACTATAGCATGGTTTTTAAAATTTTTTAATATTTTCATTAAATTTTTCCCTCTGCCATTTATTAGCTGTGAGACAGGATACTTTAGAAAGCAAAACTGATACAGAATGCATTAGAGCTTCTGAATTCACAAAGTATCTTAGGTATGTGTATAGTCCTTTGACAAATGCAAGAGCCTTTTATGTATCAGGCAGTGGCGTCAGCACTGAGGCTATGATGATAAATAAAAATAAATGGTTCCTGTTTTCTGCTCCTGAAAAGTTAGCTCCAATGTCTGAATCAGAATCTTCCAATCCCTTAAAATTGGCCAATTAAAACTATCAAACAACGTCCTGAAGAAAAAGCCATTCTACCTACATGGCCTAATCACAGGATACATTTGAACAAGATGAGCAATTCTTTACTCAAGTAAGGAAAGACTGAAAAACCACCTCCGTATTAAGGCCACAGATGAAATGGGTTAGACTCAGAAAGTAACTTCGAAGGCACTGAGGGCAGGTAGAGAGTCAGGGGTGGGGCAGAAAACAACCTAAAAGCTGCCCTTTTGTCTGTTGGGACCTCCCCCACCAGAAGAAGATTAGGTATCATTTGTTTTCCATTCATGTGTGAAAATATGAGCTCCCTTGAGATTGAAGTTTAGCCCCAGAGTTAAACAAAATGAACACTAAGATCCCAAATCACAAGGCTTGAACACATTCCCAAGTACTGTACAAAGAAGGCTGGAAAGCTATGTTCAGAAGGGCACAAAGTATCTGACCAGCATACTGTTACTAAGATTCTCACAGGGACGTGTTAACACCCACCACCCACTCGGTGATACTCACTTGGACTGCGTCTGTTTGGTGATGTTCCGAATGGTGGCACCTTCTTTTCCTATAATGGCTCCAACGAACTGGGTGGGCACCAGCAGGCGCAGAGGCAAGTCACAGGGTTTCTGCTTGGACACTGAGCCCGGAGATCCCTGCCTAGAAGAGCCCCTCTGCCCAAGCCCACGGCGACCTCGGGGCTGCTGCAAGGGGTTCTGCTGGGTGGCCATCTCATCAGGGATATAGGCCACTTTCAAGGTGAAGTTCTCCAACTGAAATCCATTCAGTTTGTCCAAAGCTCTGAAAGTTAACAAGGGACAGTCGGTGGGAAGAGAAACTGAGTTACATAAATCTTTTAGCAAAGCGACCCTCATCTTTTCCACTTCAGATTATTGGCTCTAAAACTTCTGAGTAAAGCCACTACACTAGCAGCAAACGCAGAACACACACAATGCTCGCTCCCCTCCAACACGCATACGCTTTTCCTTTGAGGTACATGTGGGGGCAGGGGTAAACCTCAAGTGCCCAAAGAGAACATACTTGCCATCTATCAATGAAAAAATAGAAAGAAAAAACATCTTGTCAAACCCTTGATTAAGTTTAATTTGTAAGGTTAATAATGACTTAGGAATACCCAAACAGCAAGAGAGAAGTGAGGGGACAGTTTGCATCCTGGCTGGCGTGTCCATATCAGAATGGAAAAGACATTAGAAATGCCCCTGTTATGGCATTCCTAATATAATACAAGTATTTAAAACATAATAGGAATCAATGGGCAAATATCTCTAAACTATTCACAAAAGACTGACTATCCTGAGTATTAATACCAATCATTTAAATAGGTATAAAACCTCAGTACCTATTATGAACCAGTCCCTGACCTTGTGGAGTCTATAATCTGATTTGGGGCAAAGTCTGTGATCTGACTTGGGGAAGGGGTGGGTGTGAGCCAAAAGAAAATGAAGCTATAGAGGCGGGGCGCAGTGGCTCAAGCCTGTATTCCCAGCACTTTGGGAGGCTGAGGCGAGAGGTCTGCCCGAGTCCAGGGGTTTGAGACCAGCCTGGGCAACTTGGTGAGACCTTGTCTCCACATCAATCAAAAAATTAGCTGGGCAAGGTGCTGCACACCTGTGGTTCCAGCTACTTGGAAGGCTGAGGCGGAAGGATCACCTGAGCCCAGAAGGTCGAGGTTTCGGTGGCTGTGAACATGCCACTGTACTCCAGCCTGGGCAACAGAGTAAGACTCCAACTCAAAAAAAAAAGAAAAGAAAAGAAAGCTACATTCCAATGTCTCCATCCCTCCACCATACATCCATATGAGGAGAGCTTTACTTTATTTTTTGAATCCTATTATAACAGGTATGTGGAAAAGTACTCCAAGTCTAAGCACACATCTTAGTGGCTTTTCACAAGGTGAACACATCCATCTAGAACTACAACACAGCAGTGCCCCGGAAGCCCCGTTAGTACCTACTCCAGTAATTGCCTTCCCCCTAAGCTTTAATATCATAGACTAATTTTGCCTTTTATTAAATTCCATGTAAGTCTATGAGAGCATATATGCTGTGTGCTCTCATGTCTGGCAATTTTTACTTATGCTTATGAGATTCATCCAAATTGTGTCCTACTATCCCTACATAGTCTACAAATTGGTAGAGAGGATATATAGCTAAGACCTGAAAAACACACACAAACACACTCCTAGTGACATACTCCTGTCTAACTCTCTAGGGCACACAAATGAAAAGCCTACTTTGAGCTTCTTGGCTCAGATTCTGCTCCAATGGGCCCCAAGTTCCACCCAGGCAGGGAAAGAAAAACAGGCATAAAATGGACTCTCTCTAGCTGCTCAGTGTGGTCTTTTCTGATTTATGCACCTTTTTTTTTTTTGAGTTGGAGTCTCACTCTGTCACCCAGACTGGAGTGCAGTGGCCGCTCCCAGCCACGGCAGCCTCCACCTGCTGGGCTCCGGCGATCCTTCCACCTCAGCCTTCCAAGTAGCTGGAACTACAGGCGTGCGCTACCACACCCGGCTAATTTTTGATTTATTGTAGAGATGAGGTCTCACTAAGTTGCCCAGGCGGGTCTCGAACCCATGGGCTCTGGCAATCCACTCACCTCAGCCTCCCATAGCACTGGGATTACAGGCTGAGCCATTGAGTCTGGCCTATGCACACTTTTATTTGGAGATCTACTTTCAATTATTAAGATGTAAAAGGAGTAGGGGGTGGGGGTGGGGGGTGGGCAGGGGTGAAAGGACGGTCCTAGCACCAAAAGGGCATGGAGAGCTCAGAACTGAAAGGCAGACCACAGCAAGCAGGCCCAAGGCTCACCCTTTGATCCGCTGCTCCATCGCTGTCCTACCTTCTCTAGCAATGCAGGAATGCTTATTGAAAAGGATTAGTCACGCAGAAACACAAAAGTGAGAAGCAGTTGTCCCGTCACTGTCACCAACCCTCCAAGGGCTTTCCCGGAACTGTGCTAACTGTGGTACTTCTGCAAATAGGTCAGTACTTTCCATGTTGTTACCAACATGTAAGCCTATGTTCAGTACCCTCATTAAAATCATGATTGGGGTCATGATGTATGATGCTCTGGGGTCTGGTTTTTTTTCAAATGCACTATGTCTTGAGATGTTTCCATGTGAGTTCTATGTCAGAGGGCATGCTTTGCATAAGCTTCGGAATTTTTTCCTCACTGTTGCCCAGGTTGGAATGCAGTGACACCATCACAGCTCACTGCAGCCTCAACCTCCTGGGTTCAAGTGATCCTTCTGCCTCAGCCTCCCAAGTACTTAAGACTACGGGCACATGCCACCACACCTGGCTCATTTTTAAAAATTTTTTGTAGAGATGTGATCTTGCTATGAGCCCAAGTTGGTCTCGAACTCCTGGATTCAAGCGATTCTCCCACCTCAGCCTCCCAAAGTGTTGGAGGTATAGGCATGAGACACTGCACCCAGCCTAGAACCTGAGGTTACTATATGTTTGTTTACTTTCTTTCTCTCCCCTTTTTTCTTTTTTTTTGGGGGGGGGTGAGTTAGAGTCTCACTCTTATCGCCCAGGCTGGAGTACAGTGGCATGCGCATGAGCACCACAGCCACGACCTGCTGGGAACTACAGACGCACACCACTATGCCCAGTTAGTTTTTGTGATTTATTATAGAAATGAGGTCTCACCAAGTTGCCCAGGCTGGTCTTGAACTCCCCAGGTTCAGGCAATCCTCTCGCCTCAGCCTCCCAAAATGCTGGGATTACAGGCTGGGCGACTGCACCTTGCCTCTCCCCTTTTTCTTAAGGGAATGTGAATTAAGAACCTTAAAATACTTTGGTTTATTTTTTTTTAAAAAGATAACAGCTGAGAAGTTTTAATATTTGTCATATTTATTATAGAAAGCTGAAGCCACAGATGTTTCAACTAAGAGAGTCTTCCAAAGCAACTTTAAACCTTTTTGAAGTCACGAGTAAACAGATCATTGGAGGTTCTTTTAAAAAATAAGGAAAACTGAACCCAATGAAGGAATCAAATCTATCTAGGCATAGAACGCGGTATAGATGACCATTACATCCCATTATGATCTAAGTATCACTAGCTTCAGAAGAGAGTAAGTAAATTTTGACTTCGGAATTAAGTCAGTAATGTTATAAAAAATGTAAAGAACATCTTTCTTGAGTCAGACAGACATACAGAAAGACATCCTTCTCCAAGAAGATAAACAGAGGTATACACCTAAGTTATCAGATGCTTCTATCTATTCTGGAACTATCTGGAACTATCTATTCTGAAACTAAATAAAGCCACATGTATCTCAAGAAACAACTCTATTTGGCAAAAACTAAAACTTTTACATTTCACTGTGCTGCTTTAAAAAGATTTTTCTGTGAGGGGAAAAGAACAGATTTTCTCACTCAGGAGGTCAGATGATACAGTGTTCCAGTCCCCAGTGCACAATCTGGGCCCCAATAGCTCCAAACTCAGACTGCTCCAGGCAGAGAGTAGAAAGTCCTTATTGTGAATATCCGACTACCTAACTGGCATCTAAGTAGAATTCCCAACCCCTCAAACCACAGGGCTCCAAACTCAGACACAGTGGAGAAGGCACATGTACCTGACGGCAGAACAATGGCTTTTTCACAACTGAAGATCCTGTTTCTGATTTTAAATCAACTACTGCAACTTTCTATGCACAAAGTTTGATATTCAGCTATGTCACATGGTGGTATATTGAGTTCATGGGACAACAGTTTAAAATAGTTTCACCAAAGCTACTATATATACAAGACATGAGATGAACAACTGTAATAATTACCAGAAGCATTCATATTTAGATACATAAAACTTAAGGATGTTTATTTCAACATGTGTAAGCCGGGCTCGTTGGCTCAGCCTGTAATCCCGCGCCTTGGGAGGCTGAGGTGAGTGGATTGCCTGAGCCTGCGGGTTCGAGACCCGCCTGGGCAGCGAGACCTCATCTCTACAATACATCAAAAAAACAGCCGGGCATGGTAGCGTGCACCTGTAATTCCAGCTACTCGGAAGGCTGAGGCGGAAGGATCCCCGGAGCCCAGCAGGTCGAGGCTGTGGTGGCCAGGAGCGGCCACTGCACTCCAGTCTGGGCGACAGAGTGAGACTCCAACTCAAAAAAATAAAAAAATAAAAAACGTGTATTACTTAGGGTCCTGTTTTCCATTATTCCTCCACTCTTGATACTATTTTAAGAGTCATTTCCAAGGATGCTGGTTAATTTTGCTAGTTGGTAGCTCTTAATTGATACATTTAATGGGATGGGTCACAGTTTAGAGCTGAAAGGGTCTTGATAAAGAGAATAAATACTTCAACCTGAGAATGAGGGGGAAGGAGAGAAAGCAAAAGAAGAAATGAGGCTCAGAGAAGTTAAACTTAACTAGAAGCCACACAGACAGACCCAACGAGTGAAGGAGAATATGAAACAGAGACGAGAATTCTAGTCCAGCTTGGACATTAAGAAACCATGTTATCAGAATGGTCCAGTATTTGACATACCATCGTAGGCTTTCCTACAATACAGCCTCTAACAAAACTAGGCTGTCCCGAACGCCTGGTAATAGGATTGTTTACCTATATACCAAAGAAGTTTGGGAAAACACCAAAGTCTGCGTGTGGTATGTGCCCAGGCAGACTTCGAGGGGTTTGTGCTGTGAGACCTAAAGTTCTTATGAGGTTGTCCAAGACAAAAAAACATGTCAGCCAGGCCTATGGTGGTTCCACGTGTGCAAAATGTGTTCGTGACAGAATCAAGCGTGCTTTTTTTATCGAGAAGC